GATGAGAAATTTTCAGCCCTTTCGAGCCTACTGTAATTCCATAGAACAAATCTTTTTTTTCAGCGGATGCTAATAGTTTTGAAAGGCCCTCAGCAACTATAAGGAACAAGAGAGGGGAGAGATGGTCGCCTTGTCGCAGGCCCTTGCTCACACTAAATTCCTTTGTTGCACTACCATTCAATAAAACTGAGATTGTGCTTGAGCGAAGACACTCCATAATCCACTTCCTCCAAACATTGTCAAAGCCCATGCGCATCAGCATATAATTTATGAAATTCCAAGAAACCTTGTCGTAGGCTTTATCGAAGTCAATTTTGAAGATGAGGCTCTTTTTCTTCTTCTTCTTAATCTTGTCGATGGTTTCATTGGCCACAAGTACACTGTCCATAAGCTGTCTCCCTTGTATGAATGCTGACTATTGTTCACTTATCAACCCCTCCATCACCTTCTTCATTTTGTTTGCAAGTAGTTTTGCAATAATTTTGTACATGCATCCGATTAGCAAAATTGGTTTATAGTCCTCAATTCTTACTGGGTTCTCCTTTTTTTAAATTAGAACAATGAAAGATGCATTTGAACCTCTTATTAATCTTCCACTTGTATGAAAGTCTTCAACGAATTTTACAACGTCATGCTTCACTGTCTCCCACATTGCTTTGAGAAACTTGAAATTGAATCCATTCGGTCTTGGGGCCTTTGAACTGTCACAGTCCCACACAACTTCCTTTATCTCTTTTTCCATGAATTGTGCAGTGAGCGTTATGTTTTGCCCAAGTGTGACCTTCTTGAATTCAATTCCCTCCAATATTGGTCTTTCCCAATCATCTTCTGTGAATAGATCCTAGAAGTACTTCATGACACCTTCCTTTAGTTCTATGATCTCCATTAGTTTGGTACCTCCTACCTCCAGGTAGCTAATTTCATTTCTATGCCATCTGCCTTTGATGCATTGATGAAAAAACTTTGAGTTTGCATCTCTAAGTTTAAGCCATTGAGTTCTTGCTTTTTGTCTCACCATGCAATCTTTGATCTACATTTTTTGCCACAAATCGACTTCATTCTTCTTTTTTAATTCCAGTTCCTCTTCAGTCAATGTTTAAGCTTTACCTTTCACATCTATTTGGAGTATCACTTCCTCACATTTTTCTATTGTTTTGTTCAGCTCACTATTGTGTTCTATGCTCCATTTGTTCAAATATACTTTAGTTGCTTTTTGTTTCTCTTTGAGAATAAAGCCACTTGTTCCTTGGAGCTCCTTTGTTCTCCACACCTCTGCTACTTTGTCTTTGGATTCCGAATGTCTAAGCCAAGCATCAAAGAAGCAAAATGGCTTTGGCCCCCAATTCTTCACCTCATTTTTCAATAGCACTGGACAATGATCTGAGATGCTTCTCATCAAACCCCACTGTTTCAAGCCTTCCCATGTTACAAGCCACTCCTCATTTATTAAGAATCTGTCTAGGCGACTCATGGCTCTTCCATTTGGTTGATACCAAGTAAACCTTCTCCCAATCATTGGTAAGTCAATCAACCCTGTTTCTGCTATGAACACCTCAAAACCCTCCATCTCCTTTTGTATGCCTCGACACCCTCTTCTTTCTTCCTATGAGATAGTGACATTAAAGTCCCCTCCCACGTACACAACTATGTCTTTGTAGTTAACAACGTTGCTCAGTTTGCTCCATAATTTCATTCTTTCCTTTGCTGTCACATGGTGAATAGACATTTATAATGTAAACATGAACCCTTTCAGTGCCCCAAAAGCCATAGACACCCAAGTATCCTGGTCCCTCGAAAGACTTATCAATCTTAAATATATCACAATTCCATACACATAAAAGACCCCCGACACTACCTTCAGCATTCATGGTTGCCCATTCAAAATTATTTGTCCCCCACAATTCACTACAAATATTGCTATCTACATTTCCCAACTTAGTTTCCTGCAGCATAAAAAATTCTACTTTCTCCTTACCAACCAAATTCCTTATCTCCTTTCTCTTCCACTAACTTCCTATCCCTTTAACATTTTAGGACACTAGAATCATTGGAACATACCTTCCCCTCCAAGAGTGCATGTTCGATTGTTGGATTTCTGTTGATCCCTGTCCCTTTCCTCTAGCTGCTCCAATTTCTACAGGACAAGTTCCTCATTCTCCTGTGTTTCTATGCCAATTTCTTTTTCAAGTTCCCAAATTTCCTTTGCCCCAAATTCCTCCTTGCTTTTTAAGATGGCCTTGTTACAATTGTTGATATTGCTGTCGTTTAAAGACTCATCGGCCATTGCACAATTCACATTGGGGATGAACTCCGATAAGGACATGTCCATCAGTTCATTCTTCTTTGTTCTTCCTCTTCTTCTTTTCCTTGCCTCTATTTTGATTAGCCTGGCTACTTTATAAACTACTGCACATGCCTTTGTCTTTCTGCTCTTCTTCCGAGTTTTTGATTCTACCTTCCCTTTCATCCACTGTCTCACCATCCCAGTATCATTGTCCATCTCCTGGAAAAAAGACCTCCAGCTTTCGATCACACTTGAGTTGCACCCATTTGTTTTTTTCTTTATTTGTTCTGGCCCGTTGCTTCTCACATTATTGGGTTGTTCCTCTGTTCCCTGGAGGTGTATAATGGCTTGCAGTGAATCTTGGGTCTGTTTAGAGTTTACATGGGGTTTCTTTTTTGGCCCATTTCCTTCTGGCCCAACCGCCCCTCCATCCACCTTCTTGTTGCTTTTTTGGTTCATTTCCAACCGAGAACCTATTTTTTTAGCTATTGTTTCTTCACCCCAACTACAATTTTCTTCAATTGGTTCCACTTGGTTAATCCCGCTTGCATCATTACTTATTTCAAAATTTGCAGTCATTAGCCCCATTCTTCCACCCCCATGTGATGTTTCCCCCATCATTTCCTGGCTAGATTTTGAATTTCGCTCCTTAGAAGTGTAATTTTCTTATGCCTCATTTAATGCTTGAGCTGACCACATATCTTGGCACTGCCTTTCCTTCTAGTCTTCCTCATCCCGTTCATGCCAAAGTGCCACGTTGTTGTCTTCTTCATCTCCAGTATTAGAGGGATTTTCAGATCTTTCAAGCACCCCATTCACGGAGCTTGCTGCTTCTACCAACCCAAGTGACCAAGATTCACTATCATGATCACTACATGACTTGTTTTTAATCCCAAAATCAGACCTCAAAATAAACAGATTGTTGGAGTGTTCTTCCTTCATGCACTGTATATTATAGAATTCTCCATTTATCTTCTCGGTGAGCTTCTTTGATATCATCTCCATGTAGGGTGTAGAAATCAGGACTCTACCAACATCAAATATTTTTTTGTTGCTGGTACTATCATCCAAGGAGATAAGTTTTCCCTATAGCATGCTTAGATCATGGAAGAATTTGGGTCCCCATGCATGTAGAGGAACTCCCTGGCATTTTATCCACGTAACCTCTTCGTAGCAACGATTGACGGTAACCAAGGTCTTACTTCATCGAACCATTGTCCTAACCAATCTCTTGCATTAGCTACTAAGTCTTCCAACTCTTCTTTGTTTGCACATTGCAATAAAACAAGCTTCCCACCCATTGGTTTTAGTGAAATAGAGAAATATCCCTCCATGTAGAATTTCTCTTGAATTGTTGGGATTAATTCTACTGCTCAAGCTGTCCCCACAAAACTCCCTTTTACCCATTCAAAATATGATATCTCAGCTTTGAATTTCCACCCTCTCCATTCGAACTCTTTGCTTTTTGCTGTCCATCCCTTGCTTCCTTTTGTCATGTGAGTGGCTTTTCTGTCCCTGTCCTTGTTTTGTCTGAGTTGCTCTGTAGCAGTGGCCTATGTACTCCCAAGTCCATTCTTCTTTGAGCCTCTAAGGATGTCTACATAAGTCATATCTGCTCTCATATTTGCTTCAAAGCTGATAGTCTTTTCGGCATTATTCTGGCTTCAGTCCCTTTGTATTTTTGCTTTCCTGTCAAATCTTGGTTGGTTTACGTGAATCTTGATCCCTCCTAGCTTTATCTGATCTAACTCCCTCTCCAGCATGTTGACATTCTACACATCATGATATCGGACAAACCCAAACCATCTTCCATACTTATCTGTCCTAGCTGGTACGTGTATGTCAATAACTCTTCCATATTCTCTAAAGGTTCTCCACATCTGCTCATGATTCTAGTCCCCTGGAAATTTGGTGAAGAAGAATGGGACAGCTTGATTGTATGCTGCCTTATCAATTCTCCGATCTGGTTGGAAACCTCTGCTTCTCCCTATTCTGCTGTAATGATCCCATGTCTATGCTGATCGTTTTCCTTGCTTCCTAATCACTCTCTCTCTACTTCTGCCTCTCATCTCTCTTTTTCTAGGTTTGAAAATTTTTTGATATAGTTTTTTAGACTTGATATTTAACCCAACAAGTATTAGGTAATTTGCTGTATATAGTTATGTATTTGTTAAATGATATTTTGTTTTACATTTTTTTAAATTAAAATTTAATAAAATATTATTTACTTTTAATATAAATTTAAATAAAATTGGTAAAATTTTAATAAAATATT